TAATCCCTTTCAGAGTCACGACTTGAAGGATGGCTATCGTTGCCGGCTAGAAATAACACAAAGAAATTTGGTTGGGTAAAAAAGGTAAATAATACAATTTTTAGGACATTACTTTGACATGATATGCATCACTAGGCACTATTCAAAAACAAACAAAGCAAATCATTGTTTCTGCTATTGCGCTGCTTTTGAGAAATTATGGGCCTGGCTATGTATTATAGTCAAAAGACTGCTTCACTAATAGTATAAGAAGCTATTAGTGAAGAAACTATTATGCCATACTATTGTGCTATGAGATAAGCGTATACAGTCACAGAGAGTTGTTCCTTATCTTTATTCGCTGGCTTTCTTTTACTTGGGTAAATTTTTCACAGGGAGTGCTAGGTGTAGAAAATTTTCAAAAGGTGTACTGCAGAAAAGAGTGCACAACAGCCCTCCATCCAGATGTTCAGTTTTAGTTTGTCACAGATCAGAGATCAGCGGTAAAGTAATATGTCAACTGTTGACCAATACGTCTGCAAGTATCAAGTTGCTTATCTCCTCCCATTTTTTTCCTTTCATTTTTGTGTCACATGTTGTTCTGGTTTTATCTTTTGTACAGGTGGTTCTCAACTTACCACAGTTCATGTAGCGACCTTCAAAGTTACAATGGCACTGAAAAAAGGGACATGACCATTTTTCATAATTACAACCTTAGCAGCATCCCCATGATCATGTGATCAAAATTCAGACGCTTAGCAACTGGTTCCTATTTATGACAGTTGCAATGTCCTCAGATCATGTGATCTCCTTTTGTGATCCTCTGACAAGCAAAGTCAATGGGGAAGCCAGATTCACTTAACAACCAGATTACTAACTTATCAATTGCAGTGATTCACCTAACAACTGTGTTAAGAAAGGTCATAAAATGGGGCAAAGCTCAGTTAACCAATGTCTCACTTAACAACAGAAATTTGGGGCTCAATTATGGTCGTAAGTCGAGGACTGCCTGTACTCGTTTTGTTTCATCTTTTTTTTATGTAAGCTGCTGATAGTTTTTATTGCAATGGTATAGAAATATGCTTAATAAATAACTAGAGACTAAGATTTTTTTTTGAAGTTTCAAGTTAAGATGAAATATGTTTTGTAGGAAGAGAGGCTACTCTCATATTTTGACTATTCATCTGGAAGATACCTGGTCCTTAAATTGCCTTATTAAAATAACATTTTACATACTTTCATTTGGTAAAAAAGTTGCCATACACAATTTGATTGTATAAATAAAATCAATTTGCAGCTTATAACTTACATTTGTATTGTTTAACAGTATACAATAGTCAGCAGCAAGAAGATACTATTCTATCATAATGAACAAGATAAAGAACAATCCAACCCATATATGGTACTGGACATAGAGTAAGTATTTTAATACATTGTGATTTCATTCTGAATACGGTCAATATTTTTGTGATTCTGGAACACGGTTAACATAGTCTTATCTTCCAGTAGGGTCAGTTAGTTAATATAAATTAGGTCTCTTTTGATGAATTTGTATGTATTCCATATTCTGCCAACCTACTGAGAAATGCAGAGCAACTTTAGCAAATTTGAAATTTGTGTCATTAAAAACAGTGTTTTTAGGGTTTTATGATTTTAAATGGTCATAAATTTAATACATTTTAATGGTTATTCCATTAATCAAATTTAGATTATTGGTCCAAAATGGATGCAGGTGGGAGAATGCATTCAACAGACAGATATATTCTAAGTAGATGGAACCTTGAGAAAGTCTACGGAGATTCTCAGTCATCCAGGTCATATTTATCCCAAAGATGCTTTTTCATGAGGCAACTGGACTTTCTTGTTTTTCTTTGAAGACGTTTTGCTTCTCATCCAAGAAGCTTCTTCAGGTCTCAGACCTGAAGAAGCTTCTTGGATGAGAAGCGAAATGTCTTCAAAGAAAAACAAGGAAGTCCAGTTGCCTCATGAAAAAGCATCTTTGGGAGAACCTTGAGAAAGCTTTAAAAATCAAAGTTTGGATTAAGAATACAATTGAAATCTTATTTAAAGTCCAAGATGACATCTATGAAGTAAATGAGAAAACTAGAAATGTTGCCAGATTAAGGCTTCATGTTCAAGTGATTCATGGTTAATTAACTTACATTTTTGTTTCATATCTGCATTTCTACTACTACACAGCAAACTCTTCCATGTTCGACCTGTCACACAAACGGATGTGTACAGAGCAGATTCTAAAGATATTCCCAGGATTTTCCAGGTGATCCCTATTTAAAAACTTTTAACCAAATACAATGTAGACAAAAATGAGGTACCCTGTTTATTGGACAAACATGAAATAAACACACTGAGAGGCACTTGTTCTATAGATTTTTTCCCCCAAAAGAAATCTTGCCAAGGAAAATGTGGAAGAACCCTTTACTGTCTCAATTTTTCCAGATGTTTTTGTGAGGCATCACATCTTTTATTGAGAACTATTCTTTTTTCTTCAGCAGAAATAAGTTATTTTATAATCACTTTATAATAATTATCATATGCATGCTATCAATTTAAGTGGTGAAAATCATTGGTTTCCCATATTAAGAAGAGGGAAAAAAATCTTGCTAAGAATTAACTGTGGGGAGGACAAATATTTAAGAAGCATTTGAATCCTTTCCATAATTAATCTTCTATCATTAGAAATAGGTTTTCTCTATCAGTATTACTGACTCCCCCCCCCCCAATTCCAGATCCTCTACGATAATGAAGGAGAAAGTAAAAAAGAACAAGAGTTTCCTGCAGAGTCATCAGGGGAAAAATCAAATTATATTTGCCACAAAGGACATGAGTTTATACCCACCCTTTATCATTTTCCAACCAACTGTGAAGCTTGCATGAAGCCTTTGTGGAACATGTTCAAACCTCCTCCTGCTCTTGAATGTCGCCGTTGCCATATCAAATGCCATAAAGATCACATGGATAAAAAAGAAGAAATAATAGCACCTTGCAAAGGTAAGCTTGAGGGGTCCTTAGTGTTCTCTGAGCTTGGTTGTTTTCTTGCAGATGTTTCATTACCCAAACTAGGTAACGTCATCCGTGATTGATCAACCCTGAGCTATACATATTCTCCTTTAAAGGTAAGTTTAAAATAAATAAAATGCAAGTTGATTGTAAGTTGATCCTTGGAAAACTTGTGAGTCCATAGCTAGATTAAAAATTTCTTAAGGTTAATCCAAAAATGACCCAGAAGAATATGCAGGTTTTCAAATTCTGTAGCAGTCTACCCCAGATATGTGCAAGAGCCAAGGATGTCCTTTAATTAGGCTGTATCATTAAGGCAAGAAATAAGAGATTTTAGACAAAATGCATTTTCTCACGGCATTAGAGAATGCGATAGAATTTAGATGGCTTATCTTGATTAGCCATGGAGGCGCAGTGGTTAGGATGCAGTACTGCAGGCTACTTCGGCTGATTATTTCTTCTTCTTCTTCTTCTTCTTCTTCTTCTTCTTCTTCTTCTTCTTCTTCTTCTTCTTCTTCTTCTTCTTCTTCTTCTTCTTCTTCTTCTTCTTCTTCTTCTTCTTCTTCTTCTTCTTCTTCTTCTTCTTCTTCTTCTTCTTCTCCTTCTCCTTCTCCTTCTCCTTCTCCTTCTCCTTCTCCTTCTCCTTCTCCTTCNTCTTCTTCTTCTTCTTCTTCTTCTTCTTCTTCTTCTTCTTCTTCTTCTTCTTCTTCTTCTTCTTCTTCTTCTTCTTCTTCTTCTTCTGCCATATCCGTTATCGGACATTGGCAATCATGTTTTTATCAGCCGCCGCACGAAAAAGTGCTGCTGAGTTTTGTCCAAACCAGTCCCTTAGATTTTGAAGCCATGATGTTCTTCTTCTGCCTGGACCTCGTTTGCTGGCTGCCAGCAATTCGGCATTCGATTCTCACCAGCTCAAGGCTGACTCAGACTTCCATCCTTCCGAGATCGGTAAAATGAGGACCCAGATTGTTGGGGGCAATAGGCTGACTTTGTAAACTGCTTAGAGAGGGCTGTAAAAAACTGTGAAGCGGTATATAAGTCTAAATGCTATTGCTATTGCTATTATACTTGGCTGAATTATTCAAAGGCTAATGCTGTGAAAAATCTTGCTAAAATTCTGCCTGCAAATTTCAACTGGAAAGTTGCACTTTAGCTTAAGGTTACTGCCTCTTTCAACTTGGCTAGTTTTGACTGGACAAAAACGCTGTTTAATCTGTAATTTAATGTGTGGGTTTTTAAAAAGAAAAATTAAACACATTTATTTTTTTAAAATAAGATATGGTTTCTCTTCAAACACAGTGTATTGTACTCATACGATTCTGTTCTAAACCACTTGTTTTTAATATATTTCAGTGAATTATGATATTTCAACTGCAAAGAATCTATTACTATTAGCCAATTCTACAGACGAGCAGCAAAAATGGGTGAACCGTCTAGGGAAAAAAATTCCCAAAAAGCCTCCAGCTCCAGATCCTTTTGCACGATCTTCACCCAGAACTTCTATGAAGGTCCAGCCAGGCCAGTCTCTCAGGCGACCAAGCAAACAGCTTCCACCAAATAAAAAAGAAGGCTTTCCTCCAAGGTAAAAAGTTATATGTACAAAATTGTGATAACTTTTTATAACACTACCCTGGGCACTTGAGGGAGTCATGCTAAGTATTTATTTGGTGAGAGGTATCCACCTGAAAAAGTCTTCTACTTCCATTCTTTAGTTAGTCTCTTATAGCGTAATCTTACAGACTTTGTGGATTGGGATCTTAGGAACCATGGATCCTTTACTTTTCTTATCCAGTGCCTGAGGGAACGAAAAGTTATTGGTTTATACAGTTTTCCTTTATAGTAAGGTTATTTGATTTAGAAAGTGAAACTTAAATCTTAGGAAATTATGTGGCGTACAATATATTTCAGTTCTGCATTTGTATTTTATTTATTTATTTAGCATATGGCATATTATACGTAGAGTAGCAGTATATATTAACATTTCACCTAGCATTTGTACTAAAATAGGATCTAGGATTTTTTACATGGCACCTTCTTTTACCTGCACAATAGAAGTGGGAGTTTTGTTGATGCAGTCAAGAAGACGTGTTAAAATGTATCCATAGCAATGGAATGCTAGGTTAACAATAATGCTAGGGAAGGTTGACACAAGCATCAATTTTATTAGCAAGAACTAGGTTGCTTATTTGGAGCCTGCAGAATACAGATATAGGGCTGCACAGTCGATGTGCAATATCTAAATGGCCTGGGAGTGCAAATATTAGCACCTGCCTGCAACAAATGGAAACAGCTGCATTTTCTCTAAAATCATGCCTCAAGTACCCTCCGGCCAACTGATTTACAGTTTTCTTTGGCTTGTTTTATTCCTGTTGGATGGGACACCCCTTTCTCCTCATTTTTTCAATTCAGGGTAATAGTATAGAATAAGTCGTCAATGGAATTTCACCCATCTTATAAAGGTATAAATAATTACCTGTAGATCTGAACCCAGTAGGAAATATTGGCCCATTTTCACTTGTTAAAAGTGTATTAAGACATGATGTGTTTTGAGTTCCACTACTTCACCACAGTTTTATTTTATTTTTTAGTACTGAGCCTGCCCTGCGAATTATTCTTCACTGAATTGGTTTTTTTTCTGTACTATATTCTTTTATTAATATATCAAGAGTAAGTAATAGGGAATTATGGTTGAAGTACAGATGCATGTTAAGTGAGAACTAACTGTGAGAATTTGGCTATAAAGGGTAAATGACAATATTTTGAAATATACAGTATTTGTATAATAACTAGCTCAATAGTTTATATAAAATAGTAAGCAGTTTAAAATGTATTAAATTTGCATTGCGCAACTGCTATTACTTATAATGGTCCATACTCCATTAGGGAGCTATAATCTAAAACCAAAATATTGTCATTTAACAACAAATCAGTTTTGAGTATGTTTAATGGCGTGAAAAGCATTTTGTGTGCATTTCATGCTTTGCCTTGTTTTTTTAATTGTTGCATATAAATTATAATTGCAGAATCATAGATAATTCCTTTTAATATCAGGAAAAAAACATAAACCTAATGCAGTAAGTGTTCTAGTTTAATCCAGAGAAAACTATACTTTTAAATCCCTTTGAATTATGAACTGGCTGTAAGCGCTACAATTCTTAAATACGAACCTTTAGTTTTACTTAAACTATTAGTGCTAAAATCAGTATTCTCCAAATAATCATAATTAAAGTTTCAGACAGGAAGTAGAGATGTGTAAAATCAATCCAGGAACAGAAAGTTCCAGAGAAATCTGGAAAGTTCCATTTCCTCCTGGGTCATGCTGAACCTTTTCCTGGACCATATCATTCTACAGTCTGTGAGTGAAGCAGTTATTTGGCAGCATCTTAAATGGTTGCACCTAACATTTTGCATCAGAGGGCACACTGTCCACAGTTTATCCCACTACCCTTACGCTTACAAATAGATCTAACTTACCTCATATCTTGGTCACAGGGTAATTGGTGGGCTTTCCCATTTGCAATAGCACTCCAATATGTGTGCAAGTGTGTATATGCATAACTATAGAATACTATGTATGTAGTGTTACACAATTGATACATGGTGTGCATAATATAAATGCTATCAACTGCAACTTAAATATCAAAGTTTGGGAGATATATGTTTCTTATTAAGAAAATAGGCTTTGGGTTTAGCTTGTTCCTTCATAGATTAATATGATAAACAGCAATGTAACTTATTCAAAAAAAAAGGTGGATAAAAGATTGATTTTATACGGGTTTAATGGAGATGTTCTTTCATTTTGACTGCCAAATGTATTTTAGTTTATCGTTGCAGTAGTAGAACTTACAAAGGCAGCTGATATGTTTTGACAGCACAGCTCTATTGATTTAGCAACATTTTAAAATCTTCTGATTCATAATCAAATAGTTTTGGTTAACTAATCAGCATCTGAAAAAGCAAAAACAAAAGCCAGAAATATCCTTACAAAAGATAGAAAGGGTAGGCTTTAGTTTTGAAGAGGATGACATATCTGTTGGAGAATTCATTGATAGATTTACACAGTCGGGTCATCATGGATGCCCTTAATCCTTGAATAAGTTCTTCCGATTTACCGAGGTGCACCTGAATTCCCCTTTGTTGAACTTTCCATCAAAATCTCATGAGAGGTTTCTTTGGTCTTATTCAGTGTTAAAACAGGCAGTATGGACATTCGTTTTGTTCTGTCTTCTCTCAGATGCCCCAAATGAATTGAGATGTCACCACATGATGCCACAATGGAGACTAGAGGCAGAGATAACATACCCAACTGAGCTGTAGCTGTAGGAAGAACCACTATGAGGAAATCTATATGATCAAAATAAAATTTGAAGGACACACAGGACTAACTGAACTTTAGATTCATTTACTTAGAGCTAAACCATTTAGCACTGCATCTGAGATATGCAGATATGCAAGCCTAACATGACATTCACATAGTTGCTTTAATCACACAAAGTCATCCATTTGTTTCCGCATCTTAATTTTGCTTTGTATTTTGACACCTAAAATTGCAGCAAGTCTACATTTGTAGAGAGATAATTCAGTATGAAGTTCATAAACTTACTTGCATACGCTTTATAACTTGTATACATTCTACAACGGAAATAAAAGCACATGTTGTTAAATCGTATTTTTCTCTCAAAACTTTTGCCTTTAAGTCAGAGGTAGGTAACCTTGGCTCTTTTATGATTTGTGGACTTCAACTTCCAGAATTCCTGAGCCAGTATGGCTGGCTCAGGAATTCTGGGAGTTGAAGTCCACAAGTCATAAAAGAGCCAAGGTTGCCTACCTCTGCTTTAAGTGGTAGTATCTGTCTAACACAGGGGTGTCAAACTGCCAGCCCACAGGCCAGATGCATCATAGCGAAACCGCGCCCACCCCATTGCCGGCAATGGCGAAAAAGTCGTGATACGTTGTGACACGACGTTGCGAGTTTGAGACCCCTGGTCTAACGTTTTATGGCTAGGAAGTTGTATTCCAGGGAAACTGCTGCTTTTTTTCTCACTTCCTCCTCCTTGGAAAAATTCTGAAGCGCTAGCAAAATGCTTTCAGAAATAAGGTGAGGTAACTGTAAGATTTGCGAATGCCAATTCTTCATCATTCCAGTTTGTGAGCATTGACAATAAATGAAAAACCTGGGCCATTTGTGCCGGGAAGCAGCCTTGTGTATATTTTCATACTTTATGAGACACACTTTGACATCCAGGAGTCGATTTTAAGAATACACCCAAGCCTTGTGTATATGATTCTTAAATTTTAATCAGTGTCAGAAATGGTAATACATGCACAAGAAAAGGAGTGAATGTTTCAGTAGTTTTGATATTCAGAATTGTTCTTCACTTGGCTCATAATAAAACCTCATTTTCCAGATTGATTGATATGGCATGTAGAGACTGGGATTGGTCATTTGATGATATTGATTTTGATGTTGATTTTAAAATTGATGATGCTGAGGACGATCTTGATGATAGCGATGATGATAACAATGTGTTTATTCTAAAGAGGTAAATGGATGAATATCTGTAGGAGAATGCATTGGTTTTATTACAGCATGCGTTTTCAGTTTTCCCCAGTAGAGCTATATGTGCTGGCTTAAAATCTAATAATAATAATTTGATCCATGCATGATTTTTATTGCCTTGAAATTATAATGTGAAAATCCTTTATATTTACACATGCTAGTGGACTTTTCATGTATGGCTGCCTTTGTGGAAATCCACTTTTGAACATTCAGATCTATTCTTTGTTATGTCACATGTTGCTGCAAGCTCATATGTAGGTGAAAAGGTAAAAACTTGATTTTCCGTGCTTTCGTGTGCCTTCTTCGTACTAAAGTGTGGTATAACTTGCTTTGCAAATATATATAGATAATTAGCATAGGAATGATAGAAACCTCTAGTCTCCATCTCCAACAAATTATTTAAAGTTAGGCTGGATTTCCTAATTTCCAAATCACCTTTGAGGGGAATATAAGCTTTCCTTTGAATCATTTTGACTGGGAGAAAGATAGTCAGCTATATAAATGATATAAATAAATAAAAAAGGAAGGAAGGAAGGAAGGAAGGAAGGAAGGAAGGAAGGAAGGAAGGAAGGAAGGAAGGAAGGAAAAAAAAAACTAGATTCTATTCTAATACTCATCCCACTATCACACAAAACTAAGTAACTTTTTTCACTACAACCCTCGAGATTTTCTGACTTTCTATGGTGCACTAGGTTCTATGGAAACTGTTCGAGGAGAGAAGCAATCTGGAATTAAGGAGAAACTTCCTGACAGTTAGAACAGTTAATCAGTGGAACAACCTGCCTCCAGAAGTGGTGAATGTCCCAACACTGGAAATTTTTAAGAAGAGACTGGACAGCCATTTGTCTGAAATGATATAGGGTTTCCTGTCTGAGCAGGGGGTTGGACTAGATGACCTCCAAGGTCCCTTCCAAAACTATTATCATCATCATCATCATCATCATTATTATTATTATTATTATTAGTAGTAGTAGTAGTAGTAGTAGTAGTAGTAGTAGTAGTACTAGCACTACTAGTACTACTAGT